CCAATTTAAATTTCAACATTAGCGAGTCATCGTATGGGGTGACATTAGGATTTTGAGGTTACTGTGTAGGGCAACATTGCTTGTGTTAGAAATCTAGGAATTATTTGCTCCATTTGAAGTGTTGATTTTGATCAAGTTGGTAATTGTTTTTGTACTTTAACTGATGTTTAGTCATTGTGTGAGTCTGCATTACGTGAAAATTTGATTTTTTTGTTGACATATCTTCGTGTTGCATTGATTATTCTGTTACAACACCTAGATTTGACTCGTTTGGGCAATCCTTTGATCCAGAGATCTTGAGTATGATGAAATCCTGTGAATCTAGAACGGTGTATATTTCGGAGTTAGGATTACTTTGTGTGATCTGTTCGTGTACTTTAATTGTCCTGTTTTTCAAAATGTTTTCACATTTCGAAGTTGGAACTTTCAATGGGAAATGAGATTTTTCAATTTGGCAACAAAAAATGAAGGGGATTTTTCAATATGTGCATTTTCAATGTGTTTGATGTGTGCAATAGCATGAATTTTGAGAGAAATTTAATTACTTGTTCTAATTGTTTGCATGCATTGTGGATTTAAAATGCATTAGCAGTATGTGTGTTGAGTGTCTTTTGGTGATGTGTAGTATAGATGTTTAAGGGTACATTGGTGCTTTGTAATGGAGATGTGGAATGTGATATTTGGATCACGAGTGGAAAGATGATTAACTGTTGGAATTCTTTATACGTGAAGAGACTCTGATCACGTGGAGTTTAAGAGAGACACTCTATCACTTTAGTTAGGTAGAGACCCATTATCTATTTAGGTTGGAAAAGATGATGTGGTGATATAGGATTATCCCAAGGATTTAGGATCTATAGAGGTCTACCAGTTACATATGAATTGAGCGATCAGTCTTGTGGGTATGGTGGGTGATGATGTGAGATATGTGTTCTCGATGTGTAAATAACCCAGAATGGGATATGATAAGTGTGGTGGGATCTTTTTGTGGGGTTATTTGTACATTTGTTGCATGTGTTTTGACCGTTTGATTGATTGACTTAGTGTTAATCTATTTTTTTGTGTGAACGTATTTTGGAAAAGATATGTGAATTATCCTATATTTTACTCCATCGCATATTTATTTGCTTTTGATTGATTACTGTGATTATCTGCTTCTACTTGGGTATTTGTTTGTAACTTTAACCCTAGTGAGTACATGGAGCAAGTATGGTATGTATTTCAGATCCAAAACACGAGGTAAGGTCTGTGGTTCCAATTTATAGGTTGCCTTGATTATGCAAGCGTTAACTTTGTGTTTTGATTGCTTTGTAGATTGATTGAGTATCAAGGTGTAGATTTGTTGGGTTTTGATACGTAATGAATCCCAAGCGATGATGTAATTATTGGATTAAATTGTTATCAACAACAAAATCCAAAGGCTCAACCCGAAAATAACGTGGGCCTTTGGAAGTAACTTAAACAATTAATGTTGCTCATTGCCCATATATATTACCTCTCGATGGCTTTGAATCTTGACCCATTTAGCTTCTTTTATTGGTCCAACTAAAGCCTAACCTAACCTATATATACGGTGTCTTTTCCCTTTTCCATTTTGTGTGTGATTTGTGTGTTAGGAAGAGAAAAATGGACAACTTGCTTGGAGAGGAAAAAATCGGTGGCTTTCTTTGTGTTTTGACCTCCATCTCGTATTTCTTCCATTGTTTTTCTCGTGCCTTTGTGGCCTACAAATCATCACCATTATCTTGTCCTTTGTGGGTGAGATTGAGGAGCAACCGAGGTGAATATATTGGATGTGGGTTGGGGTCGTTTAGAGAAAGGTAACGTGAAACTGAGCTCGGAAAACACCATTTTTGACGATCCTTGGAGCAAGCTTCCGCAACAGACGTGCTATGATTGTGGCAGTTATTTGCATGCTCTATCGAGCATGTTTTTTGCTTTTCCAAGTCCATGGCCTGCATGCATTTAATTAGCATGTCACTTACATGCAATCGTATTCGTTTCTTTTGAATTCTTGACTAGGCGACTCTTAGCATTCAATGGTTGCAATTGTTTAAGTACACAATCTGATGGCTCACTCTCCTTGTTAGAACCTATAAATACGTTCTTCTTTTTGCAGGTTCTTTTTTTATTTTCCTCATTTCTTTTCACTAACTGTGCTATATACTCTCTTTTTGGCGATTCTATCTTACACCCTATAACTTTTCTTGGTGCACATTCCACCTTTATCTCGCTCTTGTCAGTCTCCGTTACAATATCTTCCCAGAGTGACTCCCAGAATATGTCCCATGACTCTGAGGTAAAAGCTTTAGACTTAGGGTTACGTCTCCTGATGCACCTTTCTCTTTTGAGAAATTCTAATGTACTGAGGCACATCCTCATTAATTAATCCATCCAATTTCAGGGCTAACTTAGAGCTTCTTAAACCGAGGGATAGTTTTAGCCTAGGGTTGAGGAGGTTCAAGAGCATTCAAGTGATTTGGACATTTTTAATTTTTGCGATATGGAGGTTTTTGAAGCCTCAGAGATATTTACCAATATCACAAAGAAAGATTTGGATGAAATTCGGGATTGCTTTAACATTCCTAATGACATAGAATTGCTATGTCCTAGGCAATTCCAAACTGTGAATTGCCTTTCTCATGATTGTATAGTTATACTTAAGCATTTGATGGAAGTGGGGATTAGAGCCCCCTTCCATCATTTCTTTCCCGAAGGAGGGAAATAAAGCAAACCCCCATAAAAGGGTACTAATATCTTTGCCCTCGCTCTCTTAGGGCATGCCAAAAACTTGTAATTACTCCCAATAAAGTGCAGAATTGGAAAGAAAACTTTTTCATTTTTCGCGATAATTGGGAGCTTCAACCTCAGGCTCCTCACCCTTATGTAATTATGCCATGGTGTTAAGGTAAATGTAGTAAGTGTTTTTCCTTCACTCATTACATGCTCTTTAGCTGGAAGTTATCTTATTTAACTATGTGTGCGCACATAAATAATCAGCTCCCCTTCGTGGTCAAGCTCTTGATGGACTTCGCGCTTGATAGCACCCTTTCTTAGCTTAATGTTTGAAGTTCTCGTAGCTGAGAGACTACTCCATCATTCCAATCCAAAATTTCACAATATTGGTATCATATGACTATGGTTACATTTATGCAACATTTATGCATTGGTTTTCTTATTTCAAAAACTTTCTTATTATATAATATCTGATTTTTACAGTGCGAATTGACTTTAATGCGACCCCTTTGGTGGCCCCTAAGAGTCAAAAAATTCCTCACCTCCCCTTCATAAAAATAGTTTAAAACACTTATTAATTCTTGAAGATGTTTGTTCGCATTCATAATCATAATAGGGAGCAAATTTCTCCTATGAACTTTATATTCGAACTTAAATGTTTTATCACGACAAGCTATTTTGTTTATGAAATCGAACCACAAGGAAGACGTAGCAAAATGCCCAAGTAAGGTAGTCGATCATGGTGATGACAGCTTTGTGGATGGTTGAGGAAGCACAAGGATGTGGAGATCGGTCATTCCAATTCAAGAATGTTTAATTAGTCAATGTATGTGCTAAAAGATTGGAGCCAAATTCATTTTACATCGAGGACCTACTTGCTACATTTTCATTGGGTTGGGGACCCTAGCTTAAGCATAGATGCATGCGAAAGATTCATGTTTGACAACCAGTATTGTAAAAAAAAGAAAGAGTTTTGAATAATAATTTTTAGGAAAATATGTGATTAAAAAGTAGATAAAAGTTTTTAGTATACACGTAAAACATTTTATTATATAAATATGTGGTTGAAAATAATCTTATAGCAACATATAATAAATTAATCAGTGTCAAAAGAGTCGTTTTCACACATGAACAAACGTAACTTTGAAGATTCAAGAATACTAATGCAACATAAAGTACCAATTTCTTGGCATTTTTACATTCATCATTGCTAACTCTTTCCCTCCATTAATATGCATGTTCTAGAGAGAGAAAGAGAGACATTAACCAGGCTACATGTACAGAGAGAGATTGTACATGCCACAGACAAGATCCAATGAAGAATCATGCTATTGACAACTTTTTTTTTTTGAAAATCATGAGTTGGCAAAATTCATACGAACCATTTTAAAAATTAGTTTCTAAATCAATCAAACAGATCTTGACAACACATGAATTGTTAATAATCATTGTACAAATAGTATTATTTTCCAATGAATGGTTGCCACATGTCTCCCTACAATGCTTCCCCTACAATCTCCCGGAACGAGGAGATTCATTCTAACATAGATAGACAGACAGACAGACAGACAGAGACAGACAGACAGACAAACAGAGAGAGTCATCATTGAGATGGTTAAGAAAGGTATTCTTGTTTCTTGATTATCTCCTTTTTCTGCCTTTTTCTCGTCCACAAATTCCTCAGTGAAAGACATCCACCTTGCATGCACATCTTCTTTCTCTCTCCTAATTCATTTATTTTTGTGTCCTCTCTCTCTCTTGTTTCTTTCACTTCTACCTGCAGTACTCATTTGCAAAGAAACCATTAATATTGTGACATTCTGAACATAATTTAGGAAATATTAATGTTTATTATAGCATGTTTGGCTTTGCTTAAAAGCCAGAAAGGGGCTTCTTTAGTGCTTTTATCAACCTTTGTGTGAAGACTCGTGTTGTAGAAAAATAAGTTTTTTTTTCCTTTTAAGTTAGATCAAACTTGCTAGTGTGTACAATCCTTCAAGAGGGACGCTTACCATTTAAAGGTATTGAATAGTTTTTAATGACAAGAACAGTTGATAAATTTGATTTTTTGATGTTTGGTTTGTCCCCTCTCTATGAGTTAAACAGTTTAGGTGAGGTGACCTTTAAAACAATGTCGTTCGACTATGAGAATTATGCAATTCTGAGGCCATTGATAAAAGAATGAGCTTGTCAAGGGCCGCGTCAAAGACAAAAAAAAAAAAAAAAAATAGATAAATAAATATGTAACCTCTTTAACTGTTTAAACTTTTAAATGGACAGCTGGTCCGACAAAGCAAAAAAGCGGGATGCACGGAAAGATGATATTATTGCTCCACAATTCCCTTAAGTGAAAAAAATTTGTTCATGTGGAATACAGAGCAAGCAATGGAGTGTGACCGCAAGATGTACATGTACTCAGCACATGCTGCTAATCAGTGCTAAAGGGACCAGTTTCCGAGTCACCCACCTAACAGGCAATCTCCACTGTCTGCCCTTGAAGAGCCCGTCGAGAGAGGGGGGAGTTGGGAATAAGGCTTAGCTTTTTGTTATTGAATTTATTCCACCGCTGACGTGGCAAGAGAACTTTAGAGATGATTCTCTTAAACATTCATAAATTCATAGAACAATAACTTAAGGTTCTCGTACCACGTCAATAGTGTGAAGTTTTTATTGTGCCCACTGGGTGTAGGAGATCAATTCATTTTGAACAGATAGTTCTTAGAAGTTTTAAGTCTCATAATTCATGGCATAGTTCCAGTGATGGAGTTTCTCATAACAATCTCGAATTAATTAATGATACTTGGAACATATTAATGATTGTCTTGTGGTGAAAGGAAAAGAAAAGTTTATGTTGAATTCAACAAGCATAAGATCGTGTAAGTGTTTACTTCTCGAGCTTCTCTTCTAAATTTTATGAATATAATGATGAAAACAGGACTTTAATGTGCTCTAATATGCAACATATATTTAGAAAAATATTCTCTAAAGTTTTAGAAAAAGATGTAATGAAACTTGTGCTTAAAGAACTCACCTCATTCTCTGGTTTTGATAGTTCGCTTGAAATAATTGAAGGTGTAGGTACAGGACTCGAGCTGCCTGAGTTAAGGTGAACCGACGTGCTTTGAGTCCCCATATCTCTAGTCATGCTTATTTTATTTTTCTCTACAATGAGATAAAGAAATGAAAAGGCTAAAATCTTGTTCATTATAATATCTAGTATACAAAACAAGCCTTAAATGTAAAATGTTCGAGACCTCGATCAGGAATTTGAACTTCACTATCATGTTCTGCAATGGGAGACTTGGTGTCGAATTGCTGCAAGTGACTAGGATAAATGAGTGGAGCAGACATTGTAATTTTGCTGGTAAGGTTTCGAAATGATCTTCCGTTGAGAGTTTTCGCAGATAAACACTCAAACGGAACCTCTCCTGAGAGAGGATTTGAAATGTACTTTTCTGCATCATTCCCCTTGGAGTTGAGAACAAAGCCATCAGGAGAAAGGTACTCCCAAGAATACACAGTTTTTGCCTGCAATGCTGCACCAAAAACCCCCCAACAAATGTTGAAAAATTGGCACCACGAGATTTAGATAGCACTGGATGGTACCATGCATGTTTCTTAGTGAATCCTTACCTTTCAGGGCTGTGGTGAATGAATATGTTGAAGGGTCAATTTCCTCTGGAAAAGGAAAAATTACAAGTTATGAAGAGAAAGCAATTAATGAATGAAAACTATATTTAGACTTTTGGGGGAAGGAGAATTGTACTACCTTCTAAGGTGTAGCCAGGAGAAGAAGCAGTACTAGAAATGGTTATATTTGATCTGAAAGACCTTGCATCTTCTCTAAAACTTCTAATATTCGATGCAGAAAATCTTCTTGACCTTGTATTTTCACGGCTGATTCGAGCTTTGAGTCCCCATTCTTTCGAGTTGAATTCAGAGTCATCGTGCCTTTTCGAACCAAATGGAGATTTTTCCATGGTATTTGCCATGAAATTCAATGAATTTCTTCACTTTTTGTTACAACTTTCTTCAGGCTGCAACTTGCCAAATATGATTTCAAAAAAATGCTACTAATTGAAGAATCAGCAAAAGATGGTTGACGAGTGGCTTTTCAAGAAAAAACTTATCAGATCAAGTCAAAAAATTCAAATTCATATGATATTCTTTATCTTTTTTTTTTACTGGTGCCGAAGCTAACATCAACTTAGCCACTGGACCATTTTCTATTAGCATATCGAAAATTTAAGCTAAAAACTTACTTTTAAAACAAAAGTAGTATGAAGTTTTAGAAATCTGAGTGGATTTTTGGTGAAAGATTTTTATACAAGTTATATATTACTTTCTGCATACAATGATAGCTGCAGATGAACCTATTATGACCAATATTGGACATGATTTTATATGACTCGACACTTGGTGGGACACCTTTTTTTGTTGTACAATTTCTTGAATTTGTGAGATGAATATTAAAGATCTGTTTAATGTAAATTTTTTAAGCGCCTTTTGATGAAGATTATAATCAGATTTTTATTAAATTTTGATTTAAAAAAATTGATGAAATGTCTGGTTAAAAATTTGTGAGTCCCATAAAATATGTGGTTATAATTATTTGTTGACTTTGACTTAGATTAAAATCTAAATTTTATATGTACCAAACAAGGGCTTAATGAATAGATTGTGAAAAGTGACTTTTTTGAGTGTGTGGTTAAAAAATAAGAAACATTATGAGTTCACATGCAAAATAATTTTATTGGAGTATATATGCTAAAAATTAAGTTCTTTTTTTTTAGTTTAAAGAAAAATGAATTTTAAAGAAATTGTTTTTTAACATTTTCAAGAAAGTAGCACAAGAAACTTGGGGTAATTATAGGCTAAACTAACTATTTAAATTTTTCTCATTGAAGAAACAATTATTACAAAATTGGAAACTAATCCGTCCAAATTATTGAAAGCTTTGCAAAGATCCCATTTTATATAAGAAAAAATTTCACTCCATTCAAGAAATCCTAATTATTTGTTCAGGATTGTCGTGGAAAACAAATTAGAATTATGCTATTTGTACATAAGTTTTTTTTGACATTGAATGACGTGTAAAATCTGTGCCATTGATTAATTTAAGTGTTATTAAAATTAATGACAAAAATATTGTCTATGTCAGATATTGTTAACAAAATTGTGAAGCAAAATGTAACTGTAGTAGTATTGAACAAATTAAGGGAGATTTCTATAATTTTAAAAAGATATGAAATATTTTCGTAATAGTCACATACTTCACGAGATATCTATTTAATTTACTTGGTGTAAAATTATGTGATAACGCTTATTGTTATGTAAATCTACTCTTACATCCAATAAATACAAAAGCTTGACGAATATTTTCTCTCACAAAGCAAAATTTGAACAGAAACCAAATAAGATATGCTAATTTATTGAAGGTTAAAGATAAGAACGTGAAAAAAAAAAGTTAGAAACAAAGTAAAAGCAAAAAAAAAAATCTTTATTGCAATTAAAATGGTTCAAAAAAATTATTCTGTCAATATAATTAACCTTATCATAATCTTTTCGAACGTATCATCAACTTCATCTATAATCTCATTTAGTTTTCTCTAAGAGCGCCCGTTCCACGACTCAACTGTCGAAATCACAAGGCAAAGAAAAGCAAAGTGTCCACAAAGTTGGCTCTATTTAATTTTGGAAATACCCAAAAATTACGCTAAGACAGAGTGCCGTATCATCAATCAAAGCTTGAAGAATCAGACAGCATCAAAATCGAGGATTTGAGCCTTCCCTCACAAAGCTTACATTGTAAAATACTGTAAATTGTAAAACTAGAATTCTCTGAACAAATTTTAATACAATAAAAGTACAAATCAAGGTTAGGTTATTTTCAATGTGGGTTGGCTCTGATGAGATACAGAAAATAGTGGGATGAGAATGTTTTAGCGTGCATGTGCATGTCTAATGAGGTGGGGTGGGGTGGGGTGGATCATTATCATGACAAACTGACAATGTTAAGTTTTTGTCTCAAATACAAGATTTGTATGTTTCATGGCCAGATGATAAGATCCAGAATTTTTATGTCTATTTTCTGCATTTAATCTTCAAAGTCTCATGTTTTGGATCTTCATTTATCTCCATCTTTCAAACTATTGGAGACCTTGGAACATGCACTGTACCATACACTCAATTAGAAAGTGATGGCTTGGGCGGTCCGAATGTGTAATTATTGAAGTAGCCCTCGGATCATGCACCGTACCATGCACTCAAGAAAGGGATGCCTTGGGCGGGCCGAATGTTTAATTATTGAAGGAGCACGTTTTAAATTGCGCATTATCAATTCAAGAAAAAAATAATTTGGATAAGTCAAATTTGAGTCATAGATCATTGAAATAAGGGAAAAATACATAATTACAAAAGTTTCAAAATACACTTTCAAAAGAAAAAAAACTTGTGAAGTTTCAATTATCATGTGATCACATTTGTGACCACCTAATAAATAGGTCAAGGTCACAATAATAGGTCAAATGTAACAATAACACACAATTATAGTCACAGTCACAAATCACTTAAAGTCGAGTCATAAAGTTACAATTTTATTTGTCACAAACGCTCTTCATCTTACCCCACTCCACTCATCCACCGTCGCCACCATCAACCACCACCAACATTTGCAAACCACCATTTCCTAACTGCAAACAACCACCAACAAAAACGAAACCACCAACCACCAACAAAAAAAAGTACTAATTGGTGGGTAATATTAATTTTCAAATTAGACCAAATTATAACAAGAAAGTCTTCGTCTTATTGATTCCTAGGTATAGTACATCTTCCCATATGCTACCTATTGTGAATCAACTCCTAAAAGAGTCCTGTTGATTCCAAGGTATAGTGCTTCTTCCCCCCTGCTACCTATTTATCAACTTCTAAAAAAACATAATTGACTGCATATATCTTAATAGCTACACAACCAACAATTTAATATAGAACAACCATCCAAAAAGAAATGACGATTTGGTGAACACTATTCGAATACTAACCGAGGTAGATGTTTTTTCTCAATTAATGGATGAGATAAATGCTACATCATTCTACCGATATTTGGCTCGTTTGGGAGCTTGCAACACGATTATACACATAATCAGAGCCTTAAAATCATTTGTCAATGCTAAATTACTTGAACAAGCATGTGATAATACTCAATCAAGTTGATAATAAGTTGGATTATTCCGGATTATGAAACATCAAAGACTTCTAGTTAAAAAAAATGGTTAGCTTTCAGTATCTTACTGGCTAAGTGCTTTTTTAAGAAACTAGTGGGGATCGTGCGTTGCACGATAACCGTTATAATTTTTGTAATTCCAGAGTTGAACAATGGAAAAAATAACATGATATTGTTTCAAGTAATGAAAATTCTTATACTATTTAAAATGTTTTCTTTTGCTTCCTTAGAAAATGCTATGTCAATTTCATGATTGGTCTCCTCCAGCAATA